ATATCAAATATTTAATATTTAAAGAATTTGAAAATATTAATTGATATATTTTACAATTTATTTGAAAAAATGAAAGTTAAATATATAATGTGCATGAAGATGTTAAAATAGTGCATATATTAAAATAGGTAAATATTTTTTATTAATTATATTTGAATGATTCTATATAAAATATTTTATTTTATAACAAGAATAATTTTGAATAAATTTATGGTAGATATCACTTAAAGAAATTATATCTCCTGCTATTAAACTTGCTGAAGAAGGATTTCCAGTCACCCCAATAATTGGTCAAGATTGGTATGATTACACACCTTATCTGAAACAGACTAGGTTTGGAAATGATTTATTATTGAATGGTAGGGCCCCAAAAATTGGAGAAATTATAAAACTTCCATTAATTGCTCAGACATTAAAGGTAATTTGATTTCATATTATTTAAATAAAAATTCCTTTTGAAAACTTTTTCATTAATCAGGCTTTTTACATAATTAACTCATAAACTGTCAGAACACATTTGTACAGTAGACCCCCCTATAACGTTTAGATACGTTCCACGCTAATCGAATTTTACGTTGTAGGAATGATTAAATACATGAGCCAATCACAGCTCGATAGGTGTGAACTTTACGGACTAAGGCTGTTTGAAAGGTTTTCTTATATAAAATTAACCGATTCTAGACTAATTCCACTCAGCATTTCCAAAACACGTATAATTTTTTGGGAATAATCTGTATAAACTATGCTATAAAAAAAATTATAGGATTACTTACCGAGTGTGCACCATTCGACTACGCCGTTGTTCAAAGCTTGTCTTCGTCGCGGAACAGCACACGAAACGGCAGCCGCGATTTCTGATAAATAATTTTTCGCAGAAAAATAACTTGACCTTTGGAGACATCATTAATATAAATAATTTTTATGGCCGTTGAATAAGAAGTGTTTCTTTCACAAGAAATGTATAAAATTAGTGCTGTATTAGACTTACGGTACCTAATTTACATACTGTACAGACGATAATAAACTCAACTTACTAGCCTAAAATCTCCGTAGCGTGTTGCCAGGCGGCAGAAAGCATATATATAATTATAATAAAGTTACAATAAATTAAGTTAATATATAATTATATATACAGTACCTAATTTATATATAATTAATATATAATTATATGTACAGTACCTAATTTATATATAATTTATATATAATACTGTACAGACGATACCAACTCAATTTAGCCGCTCCGTAGCGTGGTGCAGGGTCGGAGGAAAGTAGTTCGGCTGCTCATCTACTATTGGTCCAGACTCTATCAATCTTGTCGCGAAACGAGTCAGCGAAGACGTTTTAGGAGAAGCTTTATACGAATGTTGCTACAATTTTTTCGCTACATTATAGGAATTGTCGTTATAGGAACGCACGTTATAGGGGGGTCAACTGTATTTATTAAGTTTAAGCACGCTTATAAGTTTAAGCTTATTTTAAATTTTTGCTTGTTATAACATGTCACAGATTGTCAATAATCAATATTTATCCTATTTGTGACAAGACACTGAGAATTCTTTACTTGTTGGAACCTTTAATATCTTGAATAATTGCACCGATGTCTTAATTTTTAACCATGCCCAGTAACTTCGATAACTGCATTATGTCAGGTTGTGCAAATTGGGCAAAAATACAAAAGAGTATGAAGTATGCGAGTATGAAGTTTTTCTTCATAAACCTGATTATTAAAGCAAAACAAACTGCCGAATTATTGGACTATAAGCTTGATGCTGCTATTAAAGCAGCAAAAGTAGACAAATAAGAATACTAGAGAGCAAAAGAAGTACTGCAACGCATCTCGAAAACGAACTAGAAATCTTCAAGACTACAGGTGAAAAACCACATAACATCTGTCTTCTCTTAAATGCATTAAACATGATTTAACCCACATTAATTGAATTGGAAAGGGCATTATTGGTAGTGGGACATAGTGGGACTTTTCATTACTAAAATAAGAACCAGATCGAGTGATTGGATATCGACCATCTTTGCTTTTTGTATTAAGTTTTATTTAAAAAACGAAAATTACCTTCTAAGTTAGAATTTTGATCTAAGTTTATTTTTTTCTTTAAATTTTCAACTCAATTTAAAGGCTTTTTTTTTTTTTTGTAAGCAGTTTCCAACAAACTTTAATGAATTTTTTCTATTTGTGAAAATTTCTATATAATTCAGAGGTTATTTTTAATACATATTTTACACAGCATTATTATTATTATTATTATTATTTTGGAGGTTGCAGGACGAATTAAATTACTTAAAACATGAAAAATAATTATATCATTCAATTTTGAGATTTATTTTATATCTTAAAAATAATTAATTATATCCTGGGATCCTAGGAAACAGATCACTTTTTTCTCGAAATTCTGGGGCAAGCAAAGAACCAGGCAATGAGAAACCCTACTAAATACTATATTTTCTTGATTAAACCGCAGGAAGTTTATTTTTAAAATGTAGATTATGTTGCAAGGTAATAAACCTTGCAACGTAACCTACATTTTAAAAATAAATCTCTGGGGTTTAATCAAGGAAATATGAGTGGGCAAAAATTGAAATACTTTGATTACATATACAATTTTGGAACGATGAAAACTGTTTATTGACTGTATTTATGGGTTACAGCTATAACATTTTATTTGAAATAACTACTATTTTCATAGTTAACCTGATTAAATGTCTTCTAATTCAGTTGTTAATTGTCATTGTCAGAATCAGGATCTTGACCAACATTAAGTTCCTGATTCTGACTCACCATCTCCAAACCAAATTTTCTTAATTACCCTTCATTTGATGAGCTCTCAACTTATGAAATGATTGTGATTTTCCCTTGCTCAATATCTGAAGATAGTTTATAGTTTTATTTTCAAAAATGTTCATATGAACCTTGGAATAGCAATGTTTGACTTTAGACAATTTGAAGAGGTAGAATTTTAGCTAAATTTCTTACTTATCACTCTAAACTAACTACATTATCTTATAGAGTGCCGTATTTCAACATGTTCCCATGCCCTGCGTTTCTTTATGCAGCAAGAGTGCAGCGTAAATGACGTCACGAGCAGCGATCGCTACACGTCGCTGCATCATAGTTTAGAAACGCTTTCTGCTCGAGCGAAACATGGACGCCTTAATATATTCACTGATTTTGATTACAGCCGAAAGTAGTATTTTAGCTAAAGAATTACGACATAACAAAAAAAGAAAGTATGAAGAATTGAGCCTTGCTCTTTCAAACAAAGAGAGAACAAAGAGACAGAAGATAAATAATTATGTAGAAGACGTAGTATTTTCTTATTCTTTGGATGACTTGCAGAGTCATTTTAGACTTTCAAGAAGTTCTACAGAAGTAAGTTTTACATTAAATACTTTTTTCTAATAGGAAACAAAATGCTATAATTTATAAAATAGCCTATTTAGTTTTACATGTGTTATTCTGTAAGATTTTCTGAAAATTAAGTTTTTTAAATGAATCAAATTTTGATATTCGTTAAGTTAATCGAATTATAATTACATTTAAGTTTCGGAAATTAGTTAATAATATATTTTTTCTTATCAGCATAGTATAATGATACTGTACTTTGTTTAGTTAACATTCGTAAATTAAGTTTGTCTATTGTATGCACTATAATATTAATTACATGTTTCTGCCTGTTATTTTTTCTTGTTCATTAAATAAAACTCATCGTTTATATGTTTATTTTTATAGGAAGTTATAAAGTTGATAAATACAAGAAGGAGTGAAAAAAAGATGGGTCGACCTGGTATTTCAACAAACAAAGAAGTGTTATTAAGCATATGGACACTTGCTAATCAAGAGTCTTTCAGAGGCATTTCTGATAGATTTGGTTTAAGTAAAGGTCATGCTTACAGGAATTTTATGAATTTCTGTAATAAAATGTGTTCCATGTCAAGTAATTTTATTAAGTGGCCATCAAACAATTTGGACGACACCGTACACAAGTTTGAGCAATTACGGAAGATTCCATTGCCAGGTGTAATTGGATGTGTTGACGGAACACATATATTTATAAAGGCACCTAAAAAAGATAGCCAAAGTTATTTTAACAGAAAAGGAAGACATTCCATTTTGTTACAAATAATTTGTGATGCAGAAATGCAGATAATTGATGCTTTTGTTGGATGGCCTGGAAGTTCCAATGACTCTAGGGTGTGGAAACAAAGTCCAATATACAAATTATTACTGCAGGAACCATCAAAATATTTAGGAAACGATTATTATTTATTAGGTGATTCTGCATATCCTTTAGATACTTTTTTATTGGTACCATTTAAGGATTTTGGTAGTCTCACTATAAAACAAAAAACTTATAATAAAAGACACAGTTCTGTCAGAGTAGTTGTGGAACAAACTATAGGACTTTTGAAAGGACGTTTCCGCAGACTTAAATATTTAGACATGGAAAATATTGCAGCCATGTCTAAAGTGGTTATGACTGCATGCATTTTGCATAATTTATGCATTAAGAAAGGGGAAAAGGATATTCCAGAAGACATATTACTTGATAACTGTGATGATGATGATGATGGCGATAATTTTCCAGAAAACACACAAAATCGTGCAGCTGCCATTGAAAAACGAAACAGAATAGCAGATTTCTTGATGGAGAAATAAAATATATTTTAAGTACATCATTTTGTATGAACTATACATATAAAATAAAATTTAAATTAGTTATATAATCTTGTATTTTTTTTGTATTGAATATAAGTACATTTTATTTTAACACATTACATTTGTTATATACAGGGTTCTGATGCACCTGGAAAGTGAGGATTTTCATTAGTGTTTGGAAAAAGTCATGGAAAGTAATTATAAGTAATTAAACCTATCATACAACTTGCCAAACAACACTAAACTGATAACAAATATTTTAGATGAAAGTTAACTTAAAAGAATGCTTTAAGTACATGTTTTCATCATCATAGGACAGCATATATCAATACAATTATAAACTTGATGCAATATGTTGATTAATAGCACTGAATTCAATTTTATTTCTATGATGGATTTTATAAAGTTCAGGAAATTTATTAAGAGAGAAATTTAATAAATATTTACTTTTGTACATGGATTATACAGGATTTGTTAATGAATAATAAATAATGGCTTTTTATTTTTTTCAAAGCCACATAGATTTATGACTGTGGATTAATAACAGAATAAACTATTTTTAATTAAATAAAACTTATTCAACAATTATAAAAAGTCATATATTGTTTTATTTTATCAATGTGCTGTACTATGAGGGTCGGAATTTACAAAGTTGGTCGGGACGTCATGGAATTTAAAACAAACATTTGAGTAGGAACACTATATGCATGAAATTTGAAAAGTCAAACTTTCTTATAAAATTTTAAATTGATTAAATTTACATACTTGACAGACTATTTCAAAATTGAAAAGAATGCACTTCAAGACAAGGAAGGTGTTTCATGTAAGAGAAAAAATTTATTTGAAATATTGTAAGTGTCAGAAATATTTGCAGTGAACATAGGACAATAATATGTTCAACTGTCAGTTATGTGTTTACTATTTATTAGATTAATTATCTGATGTTTGCCACACTTATTAAAAACGAAAACTAAATAAAAAATGTTTTTATGATAATTTGTTTGAATTTTCAGTTATCTCAAGATTCCTGTTTTTAAAATAAAAATAAATGATTTATAATACACAAATAATATAATTAACATTTTATTTAAAAATCATAAAATAGTAAAATTATTCATTTAATCAGTTTTTTTTAACTATATTTAATATATCTTTTAAAATTTTTAATTTTTCATTTTCAATTTCCTCTAATTTCTTCCACCTTTTTTCCTCTGATTCTTCCTGTTTTTTCATAAAATTTAAAAACCACTCTGGAGGCTCAGATGATGATTTTTTTTTCTTTCGTGGTGGTGATGAGGACGACGATGGAGGAGGAGGAGGTGGTGGTGATGACAATGGAGGTGATGGTGAAGGTGGTGGTGATGAAAGTGGCGATGCTGGTACTGCTCTTTTTTCAAAAGTTGAAGCTAGCAGTGTTTCAGGAGGAGGACTAACATTGGCTTTTAAACCAAAGAAGTGGTCGAAATCTTCATGGAATTCCCAAAAAGGAAGTCGACCACTTCCAGATTTTCTCATCTGGTCTTTCCTCCTCCTATAAGTTAAAATTAAATTTCGCCACTTCCGATCGCATTCCACTGCTCCTACATTGACACCTTCTTTTTTCAACTTAACACTTGCATCTCCCCATAGTTTGACTTTTTTACAATTCGGCTTCTCAAATAATGTGTCCATTTCTTTTCGAATTTCAATAAGTTTTTTTACTGCAAATGATGTCCAAACATTTTCCTATGAAAAATGAAGTTTCATCAGCATATTTAAGTGTAAATTTTATAAAACTATTTTAAACATTACTGTTACTAAGTAAAAAAGGCTACTTAGACATGTTATTCAATAACAAAAATATAAAGAATGTATTAGTTTTATTTAAAATATATAATTAAATACTTACAGAATCTGATTTGTTTTCTTTGTTATTTGCTAAAACTGAAGCTTCATTAGTATTTAAATCTGCAATTTAAAATAATATGATTACTTTTTTTCATCTATCCACCTTATAAGTTTTACTTAAACATATATGTATGTCTGATATTATGAGATAACTGCTTATATATAATTTAAACTATTTCATTTACATTTTACAAAATAGATTATATAATTTTAAAAAATATCTATTAAATTATCTAACCTTTATTTTCTGTGTTCTCATGGTTGGGGAACATTAATTTAAAATACTCTTCTTTAAAGGCATTGTCTGGAAAATATATAAATTATAATCAAATCTCACAATACAAGAAATCATATATAATTGAATAATTTTCAATTATTCTCTATTCAATCTGCACATTTAAGTATTAAATATAACATAATAATTAATATATTACATATAATTGAATTATATAAAAACAATCGATAACAGCTATACTTTAATAATTCGAAAGTACATTTAATCTGTAAATTTACCTGTTGTTAATCTTTCCATAACGTTCTTGTCGACAATTACCTCGACTTTTTTGTTATCGCTGCTGGTTAATACCACATTATACATGCAAGCGTCCATTTTGCTTTAAACGTGTAGCGAACGTAAAAGCTGCTTTATCTTCGCTGCAGCGACCTCTTGCAGCAAACGTTTAGAAACGGTTCGCTACATTGCAGCGCTGCATTTAGAAACGGGTTTCAGAGGGTTCGCTGTAAAGCGCTTCTCGAGCGCTGCATAAAGAAACGCAGCCATGCTTTTCTATTTTGGTTTATTTGAGACTGGGGTTTAATTTTAACAGCATATTTATTTCGCTGCAGTTTAATCAAGGATATATAGTAAATAAATAAACAAGTGTTAAAACTTGTATATTTTAGAGTTTTAAAAAAATGAAAGTGACTAAATTATATTTTGCATAGTTGTAAATAAAGCAGTACTATGCAAAATATAATAATTGTATATCATGAATAATGAATAGATTTTTCCAATAGATTTTGAATAGCTTAAAAACTTTCCTAAAGATATTTATTTATTTATTTTTGATTAGAATATTTCAAAAAATAATATGAGTTTTCATATGTAATACATATTCACTTCTCTGATTAAAAATAGAAACCAAATAGTACAGACAGTTCTTTCAGATCATGTTCTTATTGCTAATTTGTAACTAGTGCAATGTATATCTGCCTGACAATCACATCAGGTTATTTACTTTCTGTTTCTAATCAAACAATGGAATTATATGTTTACATATAATGTAAATTGCCCTATATTGGGATATGGCCAAAATATTTTAATTAACTGAAGAAGTTTAATATTACTTACTTTAATATTACTACCACATAATCTGATATTACATAAAACATGTTCAAAACTCTTAAAGTTTAAAATTGTTTATATAGTAATAAATTAAGACTTCAGTTAATTAAAAATGCTTTATATTTTGTTTTTGAGACATTATCTGAAGAAGTTGAAAATTTTTGGCCTTTATTCAAAAAATATATATTTACATTTAAAGCAGTAATGTAAACAGTTTTTCCATTAAACAAATTTTCTTTCTTATAATTACATTATTTCTTTATATAATATATATATATTTGTTACACTAAGTGATTAAGTGTTGTTTCGAACTAATCCATTTGTGTTACTTCTGCCCGTTTCTGAAGTCTAGGCCTAGCAACTGGTCAATCTTCTTTTGTTGTTTTATGTAATGCTGTTTCATTAGGTTTAGTTTCAGGCTGATAAATACTGTGTTACAATAGAAGTGCAGTATCCAAAGAAGTAAAATCTAGAGACCTACAAAAATCATTTATAGAATTTTTGCTCCAAAAAAAAAAAAAAAAAAAAAAAAAAAAAAAAAAAAAAAAAAAAANAAAAAAAAAAAAAAAAAAAAAAAAAAAAAACAAAAGTTCTTTTAAGATAGAATTATGAAGCTGTCAAATAGATGGAAGAGATCATTAAGAATGATGCAGATATCACAGACTGGAGATAAAAAGTGAACATTTTAAAATTTATACTTATTTTTTCTAAAAATTGCTACAAACTTTTTGGACGACCCAATAATTTAATAAAATTTTTATATTACAGCAATAATTTGATTACTTTTTGATTTGAACTGATATCGCTAACTAGATACTTAAGTAATAATTTATATTATCTTAAATAAGGTACAGTCGACCCACCCCCCTATAACACCGGTTCATATAGTTCGGATTCCTATATGACGGTGAAAAAATTGCGACAGTATTCATACAAACATGCTAAAAAAACATGTATAATTTGGTAAAATGTCATCGCCCACTCATGTCGTGACAGGATTGGTCGAATCTAGACCAATAGCAGATATTGTACAAACAGTTGAGTTTAAACGAGCAGTGGACCTACTAAAAACCATTTATTATATAACGTTCATAAAAATTATATTTATATTAATCAAAATGCAGCGAATTTTTTGCAAAAAAAATAATTTATCAGGAAGCATGCAAGCTCTACAATGAAAGCAAGCTTAAGCAATGGCGTAGTCGAACGGTGGACGCTCGATAAGTAATCCTACAATTTTTTGTTTATAGCATAGTTTATATGGATTATTCCCAAAAAATTATACATATTTTGGAAATATTGAGTCGAATTAGTCTAGAATCAATTAATTTTATGGAAGAAAACCTTTCAAACTGCCGTAGTCTGTAAACTGCATATGCGCCGGAATGTGATTGGCTCAGATATTCAAGGACTTAGAACGTCAATTTCATAAAGAACGGAACGTATCTACCATGTTATAGGGAGGGCGACTGTATTTTATTATTTTTTCCACAAACTTTTTAGTGTTTAAAGTAATTTCTTTTTGCTTGAATAACATTAGATTATCTTGTATTGATTTATGGGAAAATTAAACTTAAAAAATTAAAAGTCATGTTCTGTATTTAAGTTGCATCTCAAATATCATTTTACGATCATTTATTTTGGTGAATTAAAAATTAAGATTAAAAAATTTATCTTATAAACTATTAAATAAATAGTTTTGTAGTTATTATTTATTAAATATCAATATATTTAAAATGAATTTTACTTGCATCTAGCAAATTGCAGCTAATGGAAAAGAAGGCTTTTATACTGGTTATATAGCTAAAAAGATAGCTGAAGAAGTACAAATTGCTGGTGGATGTATGACTGTTGAGGATTTAGAAGATCATTTAAAAATTCCATGCCGTATAGTAGAACCAATTAGCACCGATTTTCATGGAATCAGATTATGGGAGATCCCACCTGTTGGACAAGGATTAATTGCTCTTTTGAGTCTAAATATCTTGGAAGGATTTGATTTAAAAGGTAAATTTAAATAATTATTTAAAAAAATGTTAATTAATATTCTTAATTTTGTGTAATTCTGTATTTATGTATTGTTTTGCATGTATTATACAGGCTGATTCAAAAAAGACTTTACAATTTTGAAAACATACAGAATTTTAATCAGAAAACTTACAGAATTGATTGATTGAGGCATTAATTTATAGCAAAAACATATCAAGCTTGTTTCAAGTAGTGCAGAAATGTTGAATTGAGGAAGACAAGACATTTCTGGATAGTATCATTTACAGTGAGAAGTTGAGATTTCATCTCACTCATAAAGTGAACATCCACAATTTGGATTTGGGACTTTAAAAGTCCACAAGCAAATGTGGAATGTGTTTATGACAGTCCAAAAGTGAATGTGTTTTGTATTCTTAGCAAAGATAGTGTAGATCGTTGTTTTTCATAGTGAAACCATCAATGGTATTGTGTATCTGGATATGCTGAAAAATTTTCTCATTTTACAGTTAAATCATAATGACACAGAATACATGAAACTTTCAGCAAGACAATGCACCACCCCAGTACTGTACAAATGTCTGGGATTTTCTCAGTAAACATTTCTCATTTCAGTTGATTGGTTAAAGCATGTCCATCTCATTCTTTACACTTTGTCTTTTGAGTTTTTCTTCTGGGTTTTATTAAAGATTTAGTTTTTATTTCACTCTTGCTTGTGATGAGTTCAAACCTTGAACAATGTTGCAGTTACTGAAATGACAGTTTAACAAAAATTGAATTCATATAGGATGTTTGTTATATCACTAATGTCACTCAAGTCAAAATGACTATTTGAGGTAAAACTTGATGTGTTTTGCTATTAATTGATACCTTAACTGCATGAGGCCAGGACTTCATCCTCTGATGGGAGGTGGGCTGTTGAACCAGAGTCAATAAACCGGTGACTAATTTTTGTAAACAGAACTGGGGCCAAGGGGAAATGGGGTGTGATATGATTTAATTGTCACATTCTTGAGATCTAATTGACATATTCCTGGTCATAGATCAAGAGGGAGATCAGAAGGGTAACAGCCAGGAAAAATTTGCCAATCATCTTACATAGAGTTCAAAACAGAAAATGCAAACACTCCCTTGGAGGGAGGCATTAGCTGGGACCATACGAACCCAGCTGCATCTTCTCTGAGATGGGGGTGTTCAACAACTCCATGACCCAAATCACGTCCCTAGCAACAGGTCGGGGACCAATAGAGTTATGGGAGGCCACCATTTCGGACCAATGAAAAATCTGGATTTTGGGCTAAAATGGTATAAAAAACTAAAATTCCCAGGACATGGAGAAGTGGAGATTGAGAACGCTGGTCCCTGAGACCCAAACCTGGATTATCCGAGAGGACCCAAATCTCCAAAAACGAGGGTGGAAGGGACTAGGGACTCAACTTCCCAATGATGACTTCTCCATCCCTCCAATCTCCAAGTCTATCAACAGCCATCGGAAACAAACTTTCTTCTTTTTGTGTGACAACCTATATCATAGGTAATGAACTCTCCAGTGTGCTCTTCTTTTTTGTGTGACATCTTTCAACAAGACAGCATTATATCTCATTGTAAGCATGTTTTATCTTATTAAATGCAGTTAATTTTGTCACTAAAGTATCCGTGTGAGTCTCTGGGTCCAGTACCACTACCCCCATATGTTCAAAGCACTCTCGCATCATCCTGACAAGTCACGAGAGAAGCGAGTTTTCTGTCTTCCATCAAGACAGACCATAGTCAGGTAGAGTCCCTGGAGGCCAGCATCCTTACAACTGATTCTGTAAGTCTTCTCATTAAACTTCTAATTAAAATGCTTTCAAAGTTTTAAAGTTTTATTTTTGAATTATCCTTTATTTCATAGTCTTATTTTCAATATTTATTTTTCTTTGTTTATGATTGTTTTTGAAGCCAAATGATCACCATAATTAATTGGGCTATTTTTCCGCTACTATTAATAATTAAATTATAAGTAATTTGGTATTAGAGGTAGGTGTTAGGTGCCATCTCTTATTAAATTTAATAATTATAATTAAATTAATATTTATTAAATAATTTAGAATATTCTGGAAGAAAAGAATCTGCCAGAGCAGGACTATCACTTGCAACTTCCACTTACTGTGTGGATGCATTGCCAGTTACACTAACTGGACTTCTGTGCAACTTTTTACTTCCAGACATATTTAATTTTAGATATAACCATCCATGGTTACTCATGGTACTGACTGGGGATGACTCCTATGCCCATGACCTATAATCATCCACTATGGCACTCAGCCAGCTAACACTTTGCCCCAGCATGGTGTATATATACATGTATAAACATCTCTAAGCCTGATGTTGTTAATCAAAGTTTAATTATGCAGTAGTTGGTTTTGATTAATAACATCAGGCTTAGTAATGTTTATACATGTATGATAATTTTCAATAGTAAAATAAATATATATGAACATCAACTCAAAAACCCAATTTTCATTTCAAGCCAAATGAACTGCTAAATTATCAGACTATAAAACCATCAAATTATCAGGCCTCTAGACAAATTATTTAGTATTTAATTAATTCCTAGCCCCTATTATAGCCCGACAGTTTGAAAGTTCCTTAAATAAAATAAATAATTTTAATTTTTCAAGATAGTCAAAATTTTATTCATTTTCAATTAATAAATTTTGATTTGGGATGAAATTCAAACTTAAATTCAGTCAATAAATTTAAAATTGGTAACTTTGTTTGAGATTACAATGTATGAAAAATAAATATCAAAAATGAAAAACTTGAGTGAAAGGGAATATATATATATCAATATGATTTAACACAATTTTAATCTGTATCTAAAAATATGTATGAATAATAGTAATTTAGAATAAATTGTTATAATGTAATAATATGCTTTTTACCTTTATTACTATTTAATTATCATTAAAGAATTTGTGAATTAATATCATTCACTGGTGTGATAAGCCTGTCTGTATATGTGTCTATTTACTTAGACTAAGTGTTAAATAAATTGTTATTACCAACCACAACACTACACTCAGCAGAGACTTAATTAATACACAATCCTAACCAAGCATCTTAATTTGCTGAGATTGTTTATTTTAATACAAACTAGCATTTTCAACCTATTCAATAGGCCATCCTCAATTTTACTTAACTTTAGGAACAACAGTTACAAAATGTTCCAAATTAGAACATTGAAAATTTGTTAATTAATTTTTTTCATCTTAAATTTTCAATGTTCTAATTTGGAACATTTTGTAACTGTTGTTCCAAAAACTTATGTAAACTTGAGGATGGCCTATTGAATAGGTTGAAAATGCTAGTTTGTATTAAAGTAAACAATCTCAGCAAATTAAGGTGCTTGGTTAGGATTGTGTATTAAATTGTTATCATTCTGAATTATTTGGAATTTAAATCCATGACTGTACACTCATGTCCATAATTTAAGGAATTCATGAGTACACATATTTGTCACTGCTGTAAAGGAACAAAACACAAGTAGAAATGCTTTGTGACAACTTCTGAAGGGAGTGCTGTAGGAGTATGCAAATTTACTCTTATGCTAATTGATATAAAAGCATTTTTCATCACTTTGGGCAATTGGTGTTGTAAGAGATCATTTTTGCATTGCATATGCAAATGTTGTTATCACCTAGTAATCATAAAAGACTATTTGTAGGCAGTAATTATGGTTTAAAGTAGACATATTGATGACATTATGTGTGGTAAGATTATCAAGAGATTAGAGGCTGGCCAAACTCAGAGACAAGTGTTACAGGAACTGAATCGGTTATCTGTAGGCTTTGGCAAAGGTTCCAACCTGGCCAAGATGTTCGAAGGCAATATAGTGAAGATTGCCATATGTCAGAACTGCACATCAGGATTGATATATGGTCATAAATGCCCGATACCATCCTTTAAAGGTATGATTTTTTTTAGTTAAATCTGATAATATTTTGGTGAAATAACTGTCAACATTTATTTTAATTCATCTCATTTTTTGCAATAGAGAAATAAATTCTAGTTGAGTTCAAAAACAAAATTTATCTATTCAACCTACATCAGAAAGGTTATAAGTTATCCAGCATAAGTAAAACCCTAAATTATTTCCTCATTTTATTCAAAATGGTTTAGATAAAAAAAACTCAAATTCACTTGTGACTTGTATAAAGAATTTTTATATGGATAAAATTTGAAATTATAATATTGTTACTTTAAGTAAAAGGCTTGAAGTTAGTATTAACCAATTAATCCTACCATTATCTGACTCATGGACTTTATCCATAACATATTATATACAGGGTGTATCAGAATGACGTTTTAAAAATTTGGGGGATTGTAGAGGATGAAATTTTGAACGTTTTGATATAAGGAACCCATAGCCGGAAATGTGATATAAAGTTTCTACAGTACTTTGCACTTTGCAGTCGTTATACTGAATGAAACAGCAGAATACAGTATTTATGACAAGTTTTATTCACAAAACAGTAGAGTACAATCAAACTGTACATCGAATCAGTGGCTGCACTACTTTAGAGTAAATGTTTAATGTGACAACCACCAACTTCATTACATAATGTGCAATGATGAACCATGTTTTGTCCAACTCTCTGTAAGATGCCACGCTCGCCTCTGATGGTATTAAATGCTGTAAAGATGCACTTCGTGAGCTCATGAACTGTTCCTACAGATGTTGCATATGCAAGGGACTTTACATAACCCCAGAAGAAGAAGTCAAGAACAATAACATGACATCAATGGATGGAAGGATAGCTACCAAAGTGAAGGGTGGTCAAGCACTTCCTACCACTGTAGAAACTTTATATCACATTTCCGGCTATGAGTTCCTTATATCAAAACGTTCAAAATTTCATCCTCTACGATTTCCCAAATTTTTAAAACATTATTCTGATACACCCTGTATATATATTTTAAAATTATTCAATTATAAAATTATATGACCTTTGTATATATAATGGATGGTGAAGTCTGAATTATAATTTATCTCAATGTATTAGAATACATAATTACTATAATTTTTAAATTTTTGAACAGAAAATTAAAAAGTGCATTTTTTTGTCATTAGAGGTAGGCGTTAGGCACCATCTCTTTAAATTAATAATTAAAATTAAATAAATAAATTATTAAATTAATTTTAGAACCTTCTGGAATAAAAGAACTGGCCTGGGACGGGGCTTGAACCTGTTGTTGTTATTTATATATATATATACCTGGCCGGGTGTTACGTTAGCTGGCTGAGTGCCATTGGGATCGTGGGCGATGAAGTTGTCCCCAGTCAGTAGTGTATTTTTTTAAAATAATGTATGTTATTATTGTATAATATAGAATACTAAATCAAATATCTAATTGATTATATATATACATGTAATTCATTCATTCATTTTTTCATTCATTTTTATTTATTATGTACTGTCAAGTACATTCCTGGCCCCGCATGGAGCATTACCAGGAGATAAACAATACAAATACATTACAGTATATATTCGTAGAGAAAATTAATATATACATGTAATATAGAATACTGTTTAATTGGATATTACTGTTCTTAAAATATCAGCTTAGATCAAAAAACTACAGTAATTAATTATGCAATAAGATATTGCCAAAGCATATATGACTTTGTATGTGTATGTTTTGTCTTTGTATTTAGTTGATTTTTTAAATTACTTTTTTTTTTACATTTATATTGAAATTTGAATAATTTACAGATTAGTTATAAATAAATTAATTTTTTGTAATATATAAATTCTTTATGTATTATATAGAAATTGGTTTTTAAATACTTTAGTGATTATCTAGTCTTATACCTTTAAAATTTTCTTTTATGTTTTATAACTTAAATTTTTTAAGATACAACAATTATAATCTCTCTTATTTTCTCCCCCAAAAATGCATTTTTATATATACTGTATATATAATTTCCATGTATATAAGATCATGATTGTATAGATGGGACAAAATCATCACTGTATTCTGCAAAATACCTAAAAAACACAACATAGTATCAGATGCATTTTATCATTTTGGTTTTTTATTTTTCTTAATAGTTATCACAGAGATGTGACTAAATACCTATTGTATCTATACATTTACATTTAATTTATATTGATACAGCAGTGCAATGCTCTTATAAGCCAAAACAAGCTGGCAGATGTAAGAGCATGCTCTTATTTGTGTGTAAGTGTATAAGTATATATTAGTATATATTTTCAGCTATGGGACACAATTCAGCAGACTATCTCCATACTTTGGCAGAGACTTTCAGATTAGCATTTGCAGATGGACGACAATATATTGCGGATCATAAAATTTCAAAATTAGCTCAATCTGTTTTGCTTGATAAAAATTATGCTAGTAAACGGAAATCTGTCATCAAAGCTAATAGGTAACCTTTTTTTAATCTCTATTGTATATTTACATTATGAGTACAAGTGTCCCTCATACATCACTGTTTTGCTCTAACACAATTTGAAAATTGGGGATATATCCCATACAACACAACTTCTGATTTTACTTTAACACTGTTTGGGAAATGCTCCATACAAAACTTCACAACTTATAAGTATAAACTTTGTTATTTGATTATTTTTTTTTATTTATTCAAACAAGCATGTATGTTGTCTCAAATTTGCCCATGGAGTTTATAATATTGAAATTTTCTATCTAGTATGTAGGCAGTATCTAGGTACTTTGTACCTAGATACTGCCTAGATTCAGTATTCAAAGACAAATTCTGGAAAAAAGTCACTTGATATTTGACTGAACAAATGCAAACCGCTAGAAGAAATTTTCGATTAATAACATATTTTTATTTTTTCATACGTAAAATTTTTTTATGATAAAAATAAAAAAAATGAAGACATTGCTAATATTTCTAATCAAGATCTACAATAAAGCTCAGATGACAATACTTTGTAAAAAGAAAACACCCTCATTTAACTAAAATTAATATTAATGCAAAATACAATACTTTTAATTGTGATTGTTAATTAATTATTGATTGCTTTAATAAACATATTTCTCTTAGTAACAAAAAAGAATAGTATACTTTTGCTAACTTCTGAAATGTAACCCTATGTTTTGCATTAGTCTTTTGTTTTATATAGCATGGATTCACATAACATGGCACTTTTTCAGAATGTAACTACTGTGTTTTATGAGGGATATCTGTAATTTATTTTTCATAATTTTCTATTAAAATATTTCTGATTACTTACATTTAGTTCTGACAGGCCAAATTATCTTAATTTTATACAGTATATAAAAGTATTATTTGCCATGTCGGAATTAAGTTTAATCAGAAATATTTTAATATGAAGTTATGACATATAAATCACTATTCATAGAAAATAAGAAATTACATAAGGAAGACGAACACGAAAACTGAAAGTCTTAAAATAAAATTATTTTTAAATTTGCAAGTATAAAAATGTTTTGAATAAACATATTTCAATATTTTAAAGTAGGTATAGGACTATTAAAAAAAGAAGCATTTAGAAAACACATCCAAGGAAGGATAAAGAAGAAATAAAATAATGTTTTTAATAAAATAAAAGCAAATTTACAAAAAATTAAGATTAAAAGACAATTCCTTTACAATGCTTATGTTCTGCAATATTCATTGTATTTTCAAATAAAAGAAACTTCTTAAAATAACTTTTTGAAAGTATAGAACTCATGAAATAATCAAAAGTTATTGCAGTGTTAATTAAACAAATTTTATTTCTTCTTGTTGAATGAATTGCAAATAAATATACTTCTTAAAAGTACTTCTGCACAATAAAAGCGAGCTTCTCAGTTTACACTTTGAACAACAAAAACAGAAACATTCAATGCTGTAGTCAGCTTAACAAGCAAACTGACTGTAGCATGGAACAGAACTAATGTAGTAATTAATGGCTGATAGCCAACATAAATTAAGAATTGCTATAAATTTGTTACTTTCATTAATTATACAAATAACAAAAAACATATTAATTATAATGTAAAAATGCTTTTAAAAAGCAGAGTTCTATTGTTTAGTATTCATAGAATTACTCAATCGTAAACATGATTCCTTTTATATCCTACAAGAATGTCTTACTTTGGAACCAAAGAAAATTTGTTTAAAATAGAACTAACAGCTATATGTAAATGAAAAGTAAAGATGAGAAAGAAAATATAATAAAGAAAATTATTTTTACATCTAAAATTATATATTTTTACTATAATTGCAATAAATATGCTGATTATAGAATTAATGGACCTACAAGAAGTTGTGCTTCTTCATGTCCATGTGTATTGAAAGAAAAGAATTAATACAGTGACATTCTGTTAACCTGACATCATTGGGAATGATGTAGTGCTGGGTTATCAAATATGCTGCTTTATTGGAGGGAGGATGTTTCTCCAGTTTTTTTCAATTCCCTGGACACAATTTTACATATCTTTGCATGTAAAACTGCAAATTCACCTTTTATGATTGTTTAACACACCATTTCAATTTTTTCAGGCTTCAAGAGTTGGCTTGAAACAAGAACACACTATTCTTACTTTGTGCTTTGTATACTTTTATTGCATTTAAATACACGCAAACTGTAATTATCAAAGTATATGAACAGTAATGTACTATAGCTGTTTTCGTGATAATTATTGATTCCAAGTATGGTAACTATTTTTGCTTCTCATATCAAACCTTTGCACTAATGATTTTGGAAAAATCATGCATGAACTAACTAGTTTTACCTAATACAGTATCGTGTTATTTTTGGCATTTGTCATCTCTAGAAGGAGAACCCATACTCCTTTCTAAGAACTGCATGTTTTGAGTGCTTTTACATGAAAATCTTAACTCCAGACCTACCCAGTGCACTGATAACCACAATGACAAGTTTAACATGCCAGCTTATTGGGTTAGCAGAATTTCACTGTAATTAGATTAAAATTACAGTGAGTATTAGAGTTTTAAATAATTGAGTAGAAAATTACTTTTTAAATAGAAATTAATTTCTGAAATGGCTGCAGATATCTTAAAGGTCAGTTTATTGAGAAGATATCTTCTGTTGAAGATTATTCTAAAAATTATGACACAAGGTTTTTTTTTAATTATTTAATAATACCTTATTTTTATTCAATGTAGGTTTGTTTTATTCATTTTGTTTTTGTTCAGATAAAAGAAAACTGGATGATATTGATTGTCTATTTTAGGGATCGGCACGTGTGCCAAATGTGGCACACAGGACGATTTTCAGTGGCACTCTAATTGAATAGAAATGTAGTAAAAATTATATTTTAATATTATTAATTACACATTTAAACAGAAGTCATAGTTCAGTGAAGGCCATGGTACATTAAAAATTAATCTTGTTTTTATATTTCTATTACAGTGCATGCATTTATGTTCTGTGTTGCATCTACATGTTATGCAAGCACTTCACATGTAAGAACATAATTCAACTAACAACTTAACTTCAAAATTATACATTTTTGAAGTCTGTTATAACCAGACTAATTTTGATAACTTATATAATAAACTTGGTAGAATCAGGTCAACACTTGGAATAACACTGCAACTTATGTTCGGCACAATACTGCTGAAAGGTTGCCGACCCCTAATCTATTTTATTCTTTCCAATAGGCAAAAGATAGAATGGATTAAAAATTCATCATAACAAATAATTTTTATTCTGCAGAAATTATTGCAGATAAAAATTCAACTTCAGTTATAAAATCTTTCACTTAAAATTTTCAAATGTGCTAACACAATCATGTTCTTTGATTAATTGACTTTTAGGACATTCTATATAAGTGGTCCAAAAATACAACTTAAATTATTTTACCTGTACATAGTCTCTTTTCAGTCTCATCAGTCTCTTTTATACAAATATATAAGCTTTGTCCTTAACAAGTTTTTGCCCCATTAGTAGCTGAGTAGATAAAACCATTGAACACTGGTGTTGGTCCTGGGTTCATATCTGATCAACAGACTAGCTACAAAGAGTTTAGCAGGTTCCTTCACATGTCTAACACCTAAATGAAGCCAGTTTTCTGTAGAAAGTACTTGTGGAAGGTTATTCTTCTTGACAGATTACTCTTGTGAAGTGCTGGTTCAATGGATGAGGTGAGTACTCAAGTGGCAAAATGAGTGGTCAAAAATGTCAAAGGAGAAAAACATAAATAAAAATAATAAGTTGAATACAGTGAGGTCTAGTAAATGTACTTTAAAAGTTGTTTATAAATAATTCATACAAGAGTTCTAATGTTTGGAGATTTTATTTCAAAAATAGATGTAGTTTTAAACATTGTTATATAATAGTTTTGTTTATCTTGAATATTATTTAACTATTTACAAAAACGTTTTAAATTCAAGTATTGATTTAACCGGATATAATTTATAATGATAAACAAAAGTAGAACATAAAAAAATAATACAAAAATTGTTCTTTATATATTTTCTTTCTTTTAATTCTATTTGTTCTTTATAAGCATTTATATGATATATAAATAAATTTTTTCTAATTTAAACTTATAGTTGAAGATATTTAATTAGAATTTATACATATTTTGAATATTTTATTAAAAATTAAATCTGAAGATGTTTAATATATACACTTATGCAAATTAGACACCTCCACAGGAAGCCCAGAGAATAGATATATCTATTCTAGAATTTATATACATATTCTCTGGTCTTCTCATGGAGTCATCTAACTTGCATGAGTATAAATCAGGGCTGTGGAGTCGCGTAAAAATCTACCGACTCCGACTCCAACACCTAAACTCCACGACTCCGACTCCAACTCCACAGCCCTGGTATAAATATTAAATGTTTTCAGATTTAATTTTTATGTTTATTTAAATAGACTTTGATAAATTAATATTTATATATTAAGCAAAATTGACATGATTTATATTGACCAGTATCCTCTGCTTTGATAGTTTCTCATAAGAGGATATTTATGAGAAGACATTATGAATGTTTGAATTGCATTCAAATATCACTGAATTAACATTTTTAATGTCTTCTCAGAAACATCTAAACTTCTGAAACTGAGACTGTTTATTTATAGATTATGTAAAACATAAAACAATAGAGTTGACCTAAATAACTAAAATAGTAGTTTGTAATTGACTTTTACATTTTAAATAATGTATTAAATTAATTTATTGACAGTTTAATCTGAAGTTGTTTATTTTTTCAGTGTTTTATCTCTTGCACATCCTGGAGATCTTTTTGACAGTGATTCAAATACCACTTACGTTTCAGTGGTAGATGAAGAAGGAAATGCTTGTTCATTTATTAGTAGTGTATATCAGAGTTTTGGTTCTGGCATTGTGCCTGAAGGATGTGGATTCCCTTTAAATGTAATTTTATTGCATTTTTATTTTGATTGAAATAATTAAGGTTAACAGAATGATGTATTAAAATTGATTAATAAAAATTGCTTTTATATATTGTTAACCATTTTCATTAATTTGTTGCAAGAAAGTATTTCAGATGTATTTTGATGTTTGTAGATCAGACAAAGAGAGATGTACCTGTTTGAAGATATTTAATCTTTATTAATAAAATTTTTTAAATTTTAGAACAGAGGGCTGAATTTTTCTTTGCAATTTGATCATCCAAATGTATTTGGACCAGCAAAATTTCCTTATCACACTATTATTCCAGCAATGTTGACTGAACCTGAAAGTAATAATTTATTAGCTTCTTATGGAGTAGTTGGAAAATTTATGCAACCACAAGGACAAGTACAGGTAAGAATTTAAGAAATTATTTTGTTATCAATAATTACTTATAGATCTATTACATAATTATTATTGTATTAACTATTTATTTATACTTTTATTTTCTTAATTATTATTCAGAATCTAGTTATTTTTTTGAAATTATGAAATTAAAAAATTACTATCTTAATTTTAATATGAATTTATTTCAGTGATAATCGATATAAGTTTTTATTAATTAGTCTCTGAAGCTGGACCACATACTCAAAATCATTAAGATATACTAATTCCATAGTTTGATAAATCCAATAGACTTTTATTTTTTTATATTATTTTTGTATTTTGCTAATTAAAAGTAAGGAAACAGAGTCATATGGAAGCTTTGTTTCTTACACTCAAAAGAGATGTTAACATTTAAAATGTAAATGAACTGTTCTATTTAAGCATAGTATCTGATGTTGGAGCCAAGTTATTCCAAAAATGTTTAGTTTAATTTAACTGACTATTTTATTTATGTTGAATTTGTGTTTATTACTAGTTTTTGTTTATATAATTCTAGCAAATGAATACAATTGACAATTAAATATTTTAATGTTTTTTTCAATTATAACATGGTTTTAAAGGTACTATTAAATTTAAAGTTTTATTTAAAGTACTATTTAAAGGTACTATTTTTATATTTATAATAGTTATTGTTAAAATTTAGATAAAGAATCCACAGACATAGCCTATTTCATTTGAAACATACTGTGTTATTGGTTTATTGGTTGCTTATCCAGCTATATTAAAGTTTCTTTAACAAGCAATGCACCCATTTTTCAATAAATTTGGTTATCTTGCACCAATAAATCCAAGCACTCTCCCACCTCTGATACAAGGTGTCCACAGATTTATTGTGCAGTGAGAAATTTGTAATGACATTAAAGTTATATGTATGGCATTGCATATCAGACCTGTAAGTACCACATTTCCACTTTGCAGTAGATGATGATATTGCTTGCTCAGATATTCTGGTTTTCAGACTAGTTTTTGGAAGACTTCTTTGCTGATTGCATACTCTCTCATGGGATCTGGCCTGCCAGGTCTCTAGGAGGACATGTCCAGAATTTACTGTAGGAAAAACTGCAGTATCATATGTAAACTTTTATTAAAACTTTACTTAAAGATTTTCTACTGTAACAGTAACTTTCCAGAGTTCCTGTGCTTTTGGAGAAAATGTATTTTTAAAGATGTAAAAATATAGCGCAGTTTTTATAATTTTTTTTAATAATTTAATCACATTATAAGTTATAACAATTAATTTATAGCAACATATTAAGAAAAATAATTATTTTCATACTGGTCCATATATTTTGTTCCAGTATATAAAATTATAATCTGCAAAGCTATAATTTTATATACTGTTTTCTGAATTGTATCTAAGTTCTATTTCATGAAGCTTTGATGCTTCATGAAATTAATCTGAAAGCATTTCTAAAAGAATATACAGTATAGTTACTTTAATCATGATATTTGTATATTTGCAATTCTTTATATTTCATTAAACTGAAAAATATTTATATAAAAACAATTTTACATTAAATATCAACTTAAGAATTTATGCTGACTTATTCTAGATGCTGTTAAACATGTTGATATTTGGAATGGATCCCCAGACAGCTTTAGACAAGCCAAGATTATTTGTTAATACAGAATTCTATCAAGAGTAAGTTCAATAATGATAACATCTATATTTTTTCATATTTTTAACTGAATTTAAATACACAATGTATAAAAAGAAAAATTACAGTTTATTAGGGATACTCTCAGAAACAAACATATTATTAAAGTTTAAAATGTAAACTTATTTAAGAAAGTTTTTCTTTTGTTTTATTAATCTTTATAAAAAGTAATTTATCAAATATAAATTAATTCACAGTAATAAATACAGTAATTTATTATTAATTAATGTGAAATTAATTAATTATTAAAGAAAAATAAGTAAAATTTTTCTACATAGAGAAATAAAGAAAAACTTCAATTAAATAATTTATATATAAAGTTTTAAAGGACATAAGTGATTTTAAGGTTTTTCTTTTTCTTTAAATATAATAATATGTACAGAGTGAAACAATAAATTTTATAGTACAAATGAAAAAAAATTTACAGAAGTTTTTATATAAAATCTTAAGTATGCTAGAAAATTAAGTGTTTATAAATTCAAAATATTATTAATTATTATTAATTATTTTCAGTACTTTATTTCTCTAATTAGTCATATTATATTAATCATATTTTTGTTTTATTTTATTTTAAAATATATAAATTGTAAGTTATCAACATTTTTCCTGTCTTAAATGGCTCATTTTATTTTTTTTTAAGTAATATATTCATTACTATTTGAAGTTTGAAACATTGATCATGCCAGAATTGTTTCATTTATAATATTTTTTATTATGATTTAATTTAAAAATTTGTAACTTAGTGCTTGCAATTTCATGTTATTTTTATTGTAACTTAATTTATTTTAATATATTTTTGTTATAGAAAGCCCTATACAGTATGGTTAGAAGATGGAATAGCTTCAGAAGTAAAAGAAAAATTACAGTCTTTTGGACATAATATAAAATATCCAGTGCAAGGTTTTGATCGAACACGATTTGGCAGAGGGCACATCATTACTCGAGGCACTTGGTGGAATAGATCAGAAAGCTCTTCTGATAATGTTCTGTGGGTTGGATGTGATCCTAGAACTGATGGTTTGGCTCTGGGTTATTAATAGTTAATATGGAAGTTCTATATAATAGTATATCATTACATTTGAGACATGTATTGTTATATTAATTTTGTAAAATCTTGCAAAGATGTTGATTTTTGCATATTTTTATTATATATTGTTTAAAAATATAGAAAATATACACATTGCATTAATGATTATTGTACTTATATAACTTAAATACAAAATTTAAAATTTTTTAATTACTTTAATATTATAAAACAACTTATATTTCATTATATAAAATTCAGAAATATTCCATTAAAATATATTCAAATCATTTTTATAATTTAAAATTTTAAAATTAGTTAAAAATAATTTAACAACAAAATTTAAAAATAAAAGTTTGTACATTTATTGATGTCCAAAAAATATAAAAAGTTAGAAATAGGGTTGCCCATTTTATATTTTCGTTTGCTTATTATATATCCTTACAAATTTGTGCTTTATATACATTTTTATATAGTAATAACTCATATATAACATTATGTTATGTTTTGAGTAAATTAATTTACTTTCAAATAGAGTATTTAGATTTCATGAAACTTTAAATGCACAGTGCTTGATTATTTTTGTTTTGGGTACCAAACACAAGAATAAACGAGTTTCTGGATTATCCAAAATTTTGCATTTCATCAACTTTGGAAAATCAAGTTTCCACAGTATATATGTTTTTAAATTTATTCCTGTAAAGAAGTATAGAAATGAAAAATTCTACTTTCATTAAAAATTTTAATAATTTCATTTCATTTTTTTATTTGAAGGAAACAAAATTACATTTCAAAAACGATAATTTTGTTTTTTATTGTAATATTTCTGTTAAAATGTTACAATAAAAATTTGATTTAAATAGTTGACATATTGTACCATAATTATAGATTCAACTGCCCCATGCTACTTTTTTTCTAGATAAAATCAAACATCTTCAATTAATTTTTCAAAATATATAGTCATTATTATTTGTTATTGGCCAAAATACAGTTTTTCAAAACAGGTTTTTAAACTTAAATATTTTTATTAATGAATACAGGCATACCTCGACTTACGTCGTTTCGAGTTACGTCGTTCCCAATTATACGTCGTTTGTCAAGAAAGTATATGGAAAAATAAAAATCAAGTTTAAGTCATTTTATTCGACTTTACGTCTGTCCGCCACAAATATTGAAGTCGTAATATCACTATAAAAACGTTTAAAGCACATAAAATCATATTAAAATATATACGAGTATGTTCTGTATTTACAGTACATACATTCGTAAATTTAGAATACTTTTTTCTGTACTATATTAAAAACTAAAATTTATTTGTTTGTAAGCTTAAAATAGATTTTTATTAACCATATATTATTAAAAATGCATTAATAAATAAAATACAGAACCAGGAATGGTAATTTATGGTTTAGCCTAGTGACAAGTAGATTCGGAGACAAGTAAATTCGACTTACGTCGTTTTTCGACTTACGTCGTTCTCCTGGAACCAATTACTGACGTAAGGCGAGGTATACCTGTACATTTGAATTATAAAAAATTACTTGTATTTTATTGTTCAACATCATAACAGAAAATATGTATAAATATGTTATATCTATATTTAAATTTGAATTAAGTAGATCCAAGTGGGTAATTATTAATAAAATTTTTTATAAAATATTCTTGCTTAACATATTTTCATTTTTAAATCAATAAAAAAAATTTTCAAAATTTCTTTTGAGCAATATCTAAAACTAATTTATTAGCTAACTAAATTCATATAATTTACTTACAGAAAATAACAGGTATGGTTAACAGTTTTATTATCTAGATTCAAAATATGTATTATTGTTAATTACTTATGAAAACATTTTTTCTTTATAAATAAATTTCATCTAACAAAGGGATCACTAATGTTAGGGTCACTGATATTGATTGGACTCGGTGAGGTTATAGTGCATCCCCAACAACTGACATGTTCCAAGAAATAAGGTGCAACACTTAAAATTAATGAGAAAATTGAAAATTGCAAATCACTTAAAACCTTTAGAATTCTCATCATTTGTAGTGGTTTGTTGGGGCATATCTAGGGTTGCCACCTGTCCGGGTTTGACCCGGAGACTTCGGGATTGAGTGAGTTATCTCCGGGCTCCGGGGTTAATTAATAATTCTCTGGGTTGTGCAAGTTGAAATGAATATGTACAAAATTATATGCAAACCGTCACATATATTTCTTCCCCCGTGTACTGAATTACTAGTGTGGTAGTCGTTTTTTCTTGTACGATTCATTCGTAATCATATACACCTCCAATATCCAATAGAACTAGGTCACTTGTGTTACTCCTATCCAAGTCTCCCTAGTCGCTAACTGTAACTGATTTAGAACCGGCATGCACTGCACATTATTCTTCGCATTGCAAAATGACATTGCGCATGCGTCAGGAACTTCTGTTCGAACAAACCTCACTTGCCCTCCGGGTCAGTGAGTTTGAAAAGGTGGCAACTCTAGGCATATCAGTTTCATAGTTATGAGGTTGGTGTTTTGAATCTTGGTGGTATCAGTTTTTGATGAGACTATGTTTTGTCTCTAAAATTGCACTGCTGTCAACAACTGCACACCTTAGAGGTATGAAAGAGTACATGTCAAGAGTTGTAATTTGACACAGGGTATTTGGTGCCCAAATCATGTGCACATAAAATAAACCAGACTTGTAGGTAGTCAGGGGACCAAGAATTGGGTCAAAAGAAAATACAAAATGCTGAGACTGTTTCTACAAACAGGTGCTAGTGCAAGATTTGCACATGTGTTGTTCATGCTCTGAGACAGTCTCATCCCAGGAATGGCTTTGCTGTTTTACTTGTTTTTCCTAAAACTATAATTTTCACTTTATCCTTGGTACTTTTAAATTTATTATACTGTCAGAGAGAAAAACTGATTTAATTTTAGAAAACTACAAATGAACAATAAACAGGGTAATAAAACAATAAAATCCATCTGTTTCAAGTAACAAGTGAATGTCAAAAGCAAATGCTACCTAATAGTACTTATTTAAAAACAAAACCTTTTCTGTACATTCAATTCATGTACAGTTTGTACTTACTCTGCCAACAAAGTCATTGTTTAACCTATATGTATCTATAATTACATTTTTATTCACTTGCTCGTTTGCTAAAGAATGAAAAGATGGTTTCATTATCTCATGTTAACAATAGAAATGTGTTCTGTAGAAGAATCATCACATGACAACACTACAAAATTTAAACATTGCAAAAGCATCCTTCAAAATCAAGACCTAATTGCAGCCAAGGGTTCTTTTTTAACTCTTTCCACTCTGTGGGCACTAAGAGGTCCTCTTTTTAGCAGGCCCACAATGGGGCAATCAGGTGGTGAGGGACGGGGCCTGACATATCCGGACGGACCACCCCCCTGAAAAATTCCTGGGGATTTTTCGACCGGTTCGGATTCGATTCCAGGTCCCCCAGAGCGGTAGGATGCCACCTTATCTGCCTGGCCATCTGGCCATCAAAACAGCCAAGGGTTCCACATCAATTTCAGAAGTTGTGAAGGCAGCCGAAAAAACATTAAGCACTATTTTCAAATATGATATGGTACCGCATGATTCTTTTCCTAATTAATTGATGATGGAGAAGTATTTTTAAACATTAATCAAGTTTGTTTTTTCAGTGAAAGTATATCATCTTATTGTAAAACTCTGTATTTATTCAATGTGCACATTGTAAAAATGTTTATTGTTTCACATGCTTCTACGACAATATAATCACAAAACTGTGCTCCTGAAAAGCAAACTGATTGAATAATGTTAATAAAAATGTCTTTTTTATTAACAAAATTGGCCTTGAATAATAATAATTTTGTTTATAGCTAATCCTATTCCCAAATAAATTATAAATAAATGTTAGTACAAATCCCATATGTACCAGTACATGAATATTTGAAAATAATTTTTAAATAAGTATAAAAATACCAAGAATAAAGTGAAAATTATAGTTTTTGGATGGGAATTGATACCACCAAAATTCAAAACACCAACCTCATGACTATGAAACCAGTGCACCCCACCAAGCCACTGGCCACTCTACAAATGATGGGAATTCTAAAGATTTTAAGTGATTTGCAACTTTCAACTTCAATTTTCTCATTTAATTTTGAGTGTTTCATCTTACTGCTTGGCACATTGGGGATGAACTACAACCTCACCAGGTTAGATCAAAATCAGTGACCCCAACATCATGCTATCCCCTCAAAAGATGAAGAATGTGTGAAAAATATCTATTTATTAAAATCTTTTCAAAATCTGTAATTTCAATATGTTGGCAACAATGAACAGAATTACAGTAGAGCGTCGTTTATCTGAACGAATTCCAGTCGACAAATTTAAATTTTCGCCAGTGCTGTGGCGCTGTAATCTTTGGCTATGTCTTCGGCTACTCAAATATTTTACGTTTTTAATACTA